CCTTATTCAGTCTACCCCACCCTCTGATGTAGACATTTTTCTGTTCAGACTCATTCTCTGATATTCATTTGTTTTTCCTGTAGGAACTAAGTCACTTTTTTTCACTGATAAAAATCTAATTGTTTAATTTCTGTTTATGACTTGAGTGGAGGTGTGGTGACATGCGCATTTAGTATCTTCATATCTAGTGATGCTTTCATTAACATATTAACTGATACCAGTTGCATTGTTAATGGACGTTCAGGGTTCTTTTGACATCCTCCCTCCATCTCTCTGGCTCCCACATTCCGTCAGTCACCAGTACTGATCTTGCTTCCTTCTCCACTATTCCTGTTCGGATGCCTCAATTAAGACTTTTTTTTTTTTGCATTATATCACCGTTATGTACAGTTATGTCTGTCTGAGACAGTGAATTGCTTGAGGACTGGGACCAATTCCTACTGTCCCAGAACAGGGTCTCCCTTTGACTTCGATGCTCAGCAAGTATTTGCTGAATGAGTGGGTCTAATTTAATCAGTTGCTTCTCTGGCCACCTCTAAAATTTGCTTGCCTAACATCCATGGTCTTTTATTTTTTACTGGTACTTGATCCACGCTGACCAAAGAGCCTATCTCCAAGTCTGCTTGAAAATCTAGCTCAGATATAAGTAAGTGTGGTTGCTGGCACCAACGGGCTTCTACTACTTGACCTTCACTCACACCCTCTATGCAGAGCTGCGGAAAATTGAAAATTGATCGTTCTGTATGGCTTCCTTCTTGGATCCCTCAGTTCAGAAGGGAGCTGTCCTCTGTGGCTCCCACAATTTACTGCCCAACTCATTCTTACTCTTCCGCAGGTCTTCTATAGTCTTGAAATAGTTAAACTCCCATTACTGTTCATTTGTTCTTTGCCTCTTTCACTCCTTCAACCAGTGGAGTAAGTCTGCTAGACATGGAGAAGGCCTATTGTGTCGTAACAGCCGACTGCTCTGCTCTCTCCCCTTGTAGACCTGAGCTCCTTGAAGGCAGCCCCTTTTGTCTCTGACTTTGAGTCCCTAGCACCAGAACATGGCCTGACGTTAAGTGTGTTGACTGAATGTTTGTAGAACAGAAGATTCAAGAAGCTTCATTCTGTCATGCTTAATTACTCTTTTCCAGCGTTCAACCTATTCGTTGTTTGCCTTTATAATGTCAAATTTCCCATGATTTTTTTTCCCCCTGCTGCCTACTTTCTGGGGGAAAGAGGAAGGAAAAAAAAAAAAACCTTGAAGTGATACTTGCCTGGATTTGGCAGGTGTTCTGGAAAGCTGAAATAAAGCAAGAAATTTCCCATTTCTCCAGGAACATGACTGAGGGAGAGAGATACAGGTGTCCGCCAGAACTCAGCCCTTTCCCTGCTGTGGAATGCTGAGCCAGCCAAGAACCACTTCTGAACATCCATCACCCATTTGCATCCATGTGCCTTTCTTTTCCCAGCCAAATGCCACCTGAGGAATTTCGACCGTTATTATTTAAGGACAGCATCTTACCAAGCTTCTCACTAAAGCCTGTCATTTATTTGGGCAGGTAGATTTCCAGTTCTGGCTATTTGCTATGGTCCCTTTTTTTGTTGGTTTTATAAAGAGTCTTGAAATTTGGGGTATCATTTTCTTTACCACAAATCTTGCTTTGTTGATTATTTTTTTCCCCTGAAATGTGTGTTTTAATGTTTTCTTTCATACTCAGTTTAATGTTATTTTATGTATGTTCTTGTTATCATTTCTATCTATTCTAATGTTACTTTCTCAACATTTCCAACCTCTCCATCACCTTTTCCCCCTTTACTCTGGTGTGTTAATTGTTGATGGAACACTTAGGTGTTCTTTCTTCTTCTTCTGACTTGTATGCTGGGACCCCAGAGGTCACCATTGAGTACAGATGCCTAATAGATAAGACTTAGACTTCAAATCCTACCTCTGCCTCTTAGTAGCTGTGCAACCAACCTTTCTCCACCTCAGCTACCTCATCCATGAAATTGGAATGAGAGCCTATGACACCGCCCACTATAGTTGTAAGCATTAATTGTGGGCTGCTCAGGAAATTCCAAACCCATGCCTGTAAGCATTGTGACCATCCATTCTAAAATTCTAGTTTGATCCTGATTTTATAAAATGTACTTATTTTCTTATAGATAATGTACAAAATGGATAGCTACATAGAACTCCACTAAATTTATCTCATGACTACAATTATACATTGTAATTTAATTTCTAAATAAAGTCAGAAGTCAGAGAATTAAACCCTTAGACTACGTATCTCAAGGTTGGGTTAGGAATGTGTGGACCAACCTAGGATCTTTTGTTGGTTCAGTCGTAGATGATACTGGCTGCACAGGTGTAACCATGTGACTTGGGTGGCCTGCAGTTGGGTGTAGAATTTTGCGTTGGGTTCAGGCTCCTGGGCCTCCACTGCCATCCCCATGACCACAATTCTGGTTCTCCAAACACAGGGGCTTTTTTTTTTTTTTCCTGTCTTTTGCTTAAAAATAGTCCTAATGATTTTTAACATACATGACATAACAATCTGTTTGTCTTTCCAACATTGGCAACAAAAGGACCCTCTTTGTGGTCTTCAGGCTCTACCTTATGAACAAACTGGTATTTTGTATAGCTTAGCAAGTGGGCTTTTTTAAGATCAGTGGAATCATACATGCTCACGTCTTTACCACTTTAGTGCCCAAAGTGCTAAAATTGTACATTTTTTACAAACTTGCAAGTGAGAGAGAGAGAGAGAGAGAGAGAGGGTATATATTTGGCACCAGAAAGTAAAGCTTTAAGAAGACCCCAAAATTTGAGAAGACCTGGCACTACTACAAATGTATCATAAGTGGTGGAATTTGCTTATTTTTGTAAATAAAGCTGTCCATCGGATTTTAACCAGGACAGAAGGCGTCCAGAGCGTGGCTCCGTACGGCTGTTCCTTTTGCATTGCCATTTAAGAAGGGTGATGGGTCTGCCTGCCTTGGAATGCTTTCCCCACGATTTCTTACATTTTATTTCTTCAAGTTTCATACATATAACATAAATACTGGAGTTAAAATTTAGAACTCATTTTTTGGCATAGACGGAATAATATGCAGTAAGCTCTGGAGACAAAAAAAAAGTGTTAACCTTGAAGGAGACTCCCTTCCCTCGGGTGGGGTCAACCCAAGAGGTTGGTGTATGTGTTTGGTGGTGGGTGGTGGATGGAAGGGAGCAGGAGGTGAGTTTACCTGGCTTTTCATCTGATTAGGAGCCACTTGTTCCTTTATAATTCTGCATTCAAGGGATGGAAGCTGTCAGGTGCCTTGTGTCGGGGCCCGCGCTGCAGCCCAGGCCTGCGTTAACAAGAGAGGCAGAATGTGTTTGAGCTTCATTGTGTGTGTTTTAAGCAGAAACTGGTCTTGAGAGCTTAAGTAGAAAAACATCTCGAACAATCCATGAAATGGTAAACAAACCACCTATTGAAAGAAAGAATGAGAAGTTGACAATTGCATTATTGTGATCCTGAGTGGGTTCAATCAGCTAAGGTTGAGAAAGAAAGAGGAGATAAAAGAATCTGTAAAATGAATTCAGTTGTGCATTTCTATCTTCCTTTGTCTTCAACTCACACCTGGTAATGAACCCATGGAGGCTTGGAGATTTTGTTCAAGTTTCCTTTTGTTTTATTTTTGTGTATGTGGCAGGTTTGTTTACAATTTCCAAAGGGGTTTTTCTTAGTCTTGAGGAATAGGAATTGAGAAAGGGGGCGGAGGAGAACAAGAAGGGGGGTTATTTTTGTACTTTGAAGACAGGAGGTAGCCCCCCAGGAAAGAAGGCTAAGGCTGCTCTGTTTCTGTTTTTCTTTTTGAAGAGGCTGATAGGATGGATGGTACTAGTTTCATCAAATACGGGTTTTATAGAATTCCTCCCTGTCCTGCCTTGGGGGATCATGGTTTGGAAAATTGTGTCCATCAAATCAAACTCAGTAGGAGGCGGGTACAGTGTCTATCCCCTTTCCCCCTGCTTTTTGAAAGGCTTAAAAAAAGAGCCCTTTGTTATCTTTTCAAGGAAAGTTACACTGAAATTCATCCGTGTGGTATTCATGGGCTTCATTTGTGTCATTCATAGGCAGCTGTAGGGTATACCAGACACTGTTGTTGAATTCCTGACCTCAACATTCAAAGCAGTGTGTTGGGAAAAGGTTCAAGACCTTTTACTTTCTCTCTTTTTTTACTTTTCTTTTTTTTTTTAAGAAGGAATTCTGAGATTTTCCCACCTCCCATCTAGATCAGATTTCTCTACCACATGCCATTGAAGCTTCTCAGGGTTAAGACCTGTGCCTGTCATCTCTGACATTTTCCGCTGAATTGCAAACCTTAAACTACCTTTCAGGGAAACTTGTTTGGAATTTCATTTTAATGGGATTTATGAATAAATCTCCATCTTAATGCTGAGTAAGCTTTAAACATCCATTCCAGGAGAAGACTATTGGATCTTTATATTTTAAAATTTAAATCACTTGACTGAAGGCATAAAACATTTTTATATTTGTGAGTACCATGTGCTTGAGCATTTCAGTGGAAGGCTTTTTTTTTATTGTCATGAATAATTTGGGGCTGCAAAGGAGGAGATGGTTCATCATCTGCTTTCCTTTCTCACGTAGAATTCTGTGTATTTTGTGCAGGTTTATTTATCTCACTGACAAGGACGGGTACTCTGGTGGCCTGTCACCATGCTGCAGTTTCCTTTAAGACACAGTTTACTTTCTTCCTTCACTTTGAATCTTTAACCTCAGAATTTTATTTTTAAATGCTGTGAACCCTCAAAGTCAGATTAGAAGAAGTTACACTTCCTCCCTACCTGCCTTTGCCCAGATCTTTGTTGTAGAATGTAAATGAAGATGAAAGATGGGATCATACTCATCCTATTAAAAAAATACTCAAAACTCATGTCAGGGGTATTCAAGTGTCAAACTTCTGCTCTGTTCTCTGTGTCTGGTGTCATTTTCCCCGTCTGTCCACAGACTCATCCTACTCAGAACCTCCAGATGTTCAGCAGCAGTTGAACCACTATCAGTCTGCTGCCCTGGCAAGGAACAACAGCCGTGTTAGCCCTGTGCCTCTCTCGGGGACCACTGGGAGCGCTGAGCAGAAAACCGAGGCTGTTCTTCACTGCGAATTCTGTGAATTCTCCTCTGGCTACATCCAGAGCATCAGACGCCATTACAGGGACAAGCATGGCGGGAAGAAGCTCTTCAAGTGCAAAGACTGCTCCTTTTATACAGGCTTTAAGTAAGTAGCATAAAGAAAAGCCTTGAAAAACAAAGTGGCTGCGCCTGCTCCTCCTGTCACCACACTCCTCCCTGCTCTCTCCTACCTGGGGCTCAGGGGAGGCCCAGCACACAGGATACAGGGGTTGGGTCCAGTCTTCACAAAAGGAGGCTAGTTTCCAAAGACAGCTTTAGGGTTTGAAGAAAGGATGAAGAGCTCTGTCAGAATGAAGAAATTTAAAAATCAGAGCAAATGGATGCCCAAGCTGTGTCAGATTGTGGCAAAGGATTTCCTTGGCCCAGGGCATCAAGCCATGAGTGTTGCCCCTTCAGAGAACTAGCTCCCTTTTTTTAATTTGTCTCTGGAAAAAAGAAATAGGTTCTTGAGCAGTCTAAGTCAAAACATCCAGTAATGGTGACTTCCTTGTAGAAAATTCTTATTTCTTACAATCATATTATTGAAAGACACCCAGAGAATCAAGACCCCACTCCATTAGGACGAGACTTGAGCAGTGGTAGAGACATTGTTCCAGTCTAGAAAAAGAGAATCCAGAGTCACCTCTGCTTCTGCATATGACAAAATCGGGGAGCTCAAAGAGTGGAGTGCTTCCTGTCAGGTGATCTAAGCTCCTGTGATGGAATCTTAGCCTCTGAGAAACCATTGAGGTTAGTGGTTACAAGTACATAGTGTGGTGCCTGGCTGCCTGGGTCCGAGTTCCAGCTTTGCCACTTGCTGGCTGTGTGAGTTTGGACCAGTCACTGGGTCTCTCCATGTCTGTAAAATACAGGCAATAACAGTACCTACCTTTTAGGGCTCTTATGAGGACAAAATGGACCAGTGTCTCTGTAAAGTGCTTACAAGAGTGCCTGGCACAATGCTGACACTCCTCAATGTTGTAACTGCATAGGTGGGGAGTCGCTGTGCTCGTGTAATATCACATGCTGTATTACAGGTGTCAGGCCGTTATTATCTGCTCCTTAGGCCACCCCAGTGCTTCAGTACAGACTCCACACAGAGAGGCTGGTGAAAAGCAGGCTTCATGCCCAAAGTAAAATGTGAATTAGAGGAACAAGTCTCTTCTCCATCGACATTTTAGTTGCTGGGATTTGATGGAAAATGTATTCTATCTGACTATTAATTTGGTTGTTTTCCAGATAAATATGTATGTGAACTTAGAACTGAGGGCAGGCTAACAGGACCGAGATGGCAAGGGCCCCTGACAGGTGTACACATCACCTTGGACAGAGGCACTTGGGTTAATAAGGATGGGGCCGTGCCATTATACCACTGTCTGCATCCGTTTTTATGAGACATTTAAGGCTTTCTAAATTGTGAAGTTTTGAAAAGGATAAAGGAGGAGGCAAGAGAGCCCTTCTGCCTTCAAGTTGGTGCTGCAGCCCTGGGTTTACCTGGTCGTCAACTGTCATGACTTCCTTAGCCAACTGGCCCTGCCCCTTACCTCCCCGCCTTATCACATAGGCCACTGATAAATCAACCTAGCTTTAAAATAGTCCCTCTCCTAATAAGCCTGATGAGATGTTTGTTCTTATAGAGATCTTGTTTTCATGTTTGTAATAGGTCATTTCTAATTGTCAAGAATAAAGTATCTGGGGAATCCATTTCTTTTTCAACTAAGCCCTGAACCCAGCCAGGTGGCAAATTTCTGAAAACAGGCAGGACAGTTCCGTGATTGGCTGAGTGGCCAAGGACCATGGTTAGCAGATGTGATTGGCAGCATGGCATTGGCCCCTCAAGCAGGGGGGTCACACCCAGAAGCGCTGTAGTCGGGCTGCCAGCAGGGTATGTGTGAGTGGCTTGATCCCTGTCACCCCACCTCTTTCCCAGATCTGCTTTTACTATGCACGTGGAAGCCGGGCACTCAGCAGTTCCTGAGGAGGGTCCCAAAGATCTTCGCTGTCCTCTCTGCCTCTATCACACCAAATACAAACGCAACATGATTGACCACATCGTGCTGCACCGAGGTAAGCTGCCTAACGGGGTTCTGCTGGGGATGCCTTCTCTAGGAGGCAGTGGCCCCTTTGCCCTGGTCCCCTGTTCCTCACCTACCTCCAGGCAAGAAGGCACTGTGCACAGCCACATGCCAGCCCATGGGGATAAAAACCGCCGTCCTGCTGAGACGGTTTCCTCCACCTGCGGAGAGGCAGAGGGGTGGGATCTGCAGGAAAAGCTCTGGCCCAGCATGAGGGACGGGTACTTCTGAGTCTTCTGCCCTTGCAGCCTTGCAAAGGTGGGTGAGGACGCACTGTAAACGGTGAAGAGCTATCTGGTTGTAAGCAATTCTTTTCTGGGAAATCAAGGTGATGATTTCCAAGGCAGGATGTGGAATTTCCCTGGAAATGGATGGAGAGAGAAAATTCTCAAAAATAAAAGTTTCCTCATATGCATTAGAAAACCCATAGGCTTTGGATTCCAATTCAGTTTTTAAAGCTGTCTGTGTTCGACCTCTCCCCCCTCTGTAGAAAGAGAGGACAGTCATGCCTATGAAATAACACGTGAAGGGTCTCGTATATGTTCCACTGTCAGTCGATACTGGGCACTCTGAGTGTTGGTGCCTGTTGATAAACATGGACACTTCTTTTAAGTTCTCTTCAATTTTTCTTCAAGTTGAGTGTATTCATGGCCAATCAAAACACTATTAAACAACAAGCTTCTGTTGCACTGGAAGGAAAAATACATTTACATAAAAAGTACTTTGTCCTGAAAGGTTCAAGCCGGAGATGGACCCAGTGGTAAGGATACACCTGTTGCCAACCTTTCTCACTGTTTCCATCCACTGATCTTTCCATCTCTTCCCTGTTCCTTCCCTCCCTTCCCTTCTGTTCTTTGTCTTCCTTCCTGTCTTCCTTCCCTTGCCTCTAACCTTGGAAAGCTTTTTGATATTTGCTACATCTGTCCTCAGAAGCAGTGAGTGTCTTCTGCTGCCCTGCAGAGATGTCACTCACTCTGAATGCTGGGTATTTGGGAGCATTTTCAAAGGTTCCAGCATTTCCCCCGAGCCCCACTGTCTTTCACCAGCATTTGGGGGACTTTGCACCTCTGTCTGCTGCAAACTTCTGGGAAGGCTCAGCATTTAGCATGCTCAGATTTTGCTCCTCCCTGTGGTGCTAATGAGACGTGAGAGCGGTGCTGGCTGGGACGTCCACTGCAAGCTGGGAGAAGCATCGGAGAAACATTTAGGCAGGGATTCTTGGCCCGAGTGGTCCCACCTGGTGTTCCGCCCCAGTCGCCTGGCTTTGGGTCCCTGGCCATGTGCTGCCGTGGCTCTGTGCCCTCTCACAGCTTGGGGAAGAGGCCATGAGTAGCGCTGCTGCCACGCAAACAGAAACAGCGAGACCTCACTTCTGTGGCTGATTCCCTCTCTCTTCCCAGATTGCTGCCTGGCGGGATCAGAGCTTTGATGCCTAATGAGCTCAATGACTTTCCTTCCCTGAGCTGAGAATGCAAGAAAGGAGGCAGTGAGAGATTGCGCGCTAACGCCACAAATACGCCCTTAGAGCAGTGCCCTCGAGGAAGCGCTCGTGCACTGTCACTTCATCTTCCTACGGCGTCTGGCGGACAGAGCTGTTACTGCTCGCAGTCCTGTCTCACATAGGTGAAGCTTGATGCTGAGAAATCTACTTCTCCTTTGATTTAGTGTTGCTCTTTATGGTCATTCCAGAGGATTTAAGGCATCTTAAAGATACTCATGTACAACTACAGGATTCAGTACAAATGAGAAAATTGGGGTAAATGCAAAATAAGGAGAAACCAGTTGGGAACTGATCTGAAAGTATGGGAAAGCTCACCAAGAGCCTGGGTGCTGGGCGTCTGCCATGAGGCTGTGCACTTGTTAGCAGTGGGCTGAGACCATGGGAGAGAAGAAGCTAGAATCAGTTGGATTTAGAGTGTTTGTTAGACTTTTGAAATTTTGTTCAGGAAATTTTAGGGAATCCTAATCCTAGACCCTGAAACCTGAAAAGAATTTCTCCAGTGGTTTCTCCTAAGGGGGACCATGCATGATAGAGTATATATTGTCCCCACCGTAAACCCAGTGGTAAGTCCCACAGGGCCCATGAGGGCTGAAACAGTTTAATCAAAATCACCAACTGGTGAGCAGTGAAGCTCTGAGTCAACCCCAGTCCTCTGATCCCATAACCCATCCATCATATTGCCTGTCAGTGGTTACCTACCGTCCCTTCTGCTTATTTAATCTAAGAGAGGCGTCTGAGTATATAAATTTCGTCCTCATAGAAATAGTGGTCAGAAAGCACACATTCTGGAATAGCGTGCGCCTGTGAGCTTGGCTGCCATATGACGACATTAACAGCAATGGTCACTGCCACTGAGAGCTTGCTGGGTGTGGGTGCTGTGCCAAGTGCTTTCCGGCGTGTCAGTGGATGGCATTCTCACAAAACCCTATGTGCTGGTTGTCCCAATATTAATGTGCTGTTACCCCTGATGCCAAGATACAGATCAGAGTCCAGAAGACTGAGCATCTTACCTAAAGGTCAAATGACTAACCAGTGACCTGGCTGGGATCTGACCACCAGGCATCCCAGCCTCGCCCTGGGGAAGGCGGGTGGTGTCACTCTTTTGGGCGTCCTAATGACATCCCAATGGTCGTGGCAGCTGGGCTCTGAAGATGGGATTATCTGAAGGGCGGGATGTCTTAGGAGAGACAAAAACCATTGAACTCTAGGTGGCAGGGTGCATCAGCACCCTGACAGCATCTGTGTCCTGGCCTGGTGTTGATGTCTGTCTCAACTCAAAATGCCAACTCAGTGGGAAGTTGGTCTGGACAAGTCAAGAGACAGGGTTGGGTGTCTGCCTTGCAGTGTCAAGCTGGGGCTGAGCTGAAAGTGATAAGACGTGGCTCTTTCTCCACCTGTGCTTTCCTTGCTCTGGATGAATAAACATCTTTCATCTCCAGGGTCTGCAGGAAGAGACCTTTTTGAGGCCTTGGTTAATTAAAATACTTGGAATGAAAGGCAAGAAAAACAACTTGTGGACTGGCCCTGACACTGAGCTACTGCAAAAATAGAGTTTCCTTAGCTTTTTGTCCAAATTGATAAATTTAAATGAGGAGGACAGGGAAGAAAATCCATTTCACTTATGGGAAATCAGAGGGATTTCCTCATTTCACTTAAGGGAACTCAAAATCGGCATTTTGAGTTGAGACAGACATCAACACCAGGCCAGGACACAGATGCCATCAGGGCTGTCCTGATGCACCCTGCCACCTAGAGTTCAATGGTTTTTGTCTCTCCCAAGGTGTTTGCAGGGCTGTGTTCCCTCTGAAGGCTCTGGAGAAGAACCCCTCCTTAGCTCTCTATAGCTTCTGGTGGCTCCCAACATGCCTTGGCATTCCTTGTCCTGTAACTGCATCATTGCATCCTCTGCCTCTGTCTGCACGTGGCCGTATTCCCTGTGTGGGTCTGTGTGGCCTCCTCTTGACTAATTACATCTGCAAAGACCCATGTCCCAATAAGGTCACATTCTGAAGTTCCAGGTGGACATAAATTTCTGGGAGACACTATTCAACCCACTATATGAGGGATGGAAAATTTGAACAAACCCCTCAGGGGAGTAGAAGTGAGATGTGTTTACAGAGTGATACTAGATTGTACTGCAGAGAGGGTCTGAGGGGAATAGGAGGCAAGGCGGGGAACGCGGCCACATGATGGAAGGTGTGGACACCCACATAGGAGTTTGGACTTTACTCAGTAGACAGATCGGAGGAAGCCGGGTACAGGTGAGACATCTGATGAATACTAACTCAGCAAAGACCAAACCAAGGGACTGGTAGGCCCATCTTTGAGGAACTATGAACTTAGGTTAGATCAGCATTTGGTGAGGTTGGCCATGACTGGACCAGTTTAACCAAGGAAAAATTAAGCCCCGAGACTTGTTTCAAGGAGAGCATTGGTGGTAGGACTTTTGATGGCTTTTCATTCACCCAACAAATATTTATTGAGCACCTGCTGTATGCTAGCATTGTTTTAAGCTCTAGGGATACAGCCATGAAAATATAAGGTTTGTGTCCTGAAGGAACTTGAACTTTAATGGGAAAAGACACAATGAACAAGGTAATAAATAGTTTCATGAGTTAATTTCCATTGAGTTTATTGCCACTGGAAACACAATGCCTCATGCATAGCTTTGCCTATATGTACCTGGTACACCTATAATGAACCTGAAAAATTGGTCAATTGAATTGTAGTGATGAAATGTGCTTTTGCCAAATATTTACATTGTAATTACGGAGCTGTGTCCAGTTGACATTTTCAAGTTTCTATTTCCCAACCTGTGGCCCCATAATTAGACAAATGCTGAATTTAAGTGAACCCTGCAGGTAGCATCTTTTTTGGAATTGAACTAATCTCCCCTAACTTACGGGATCAGTATTGTTTTTCTTGAGAAAAAAATGTACAGTGAGATTGCCAACCTTTCATTTTATTCAGTGAAATCACCCATTCCCTTCCATCCCTAGCAAATGCTTCTGCCTGCCTGTTGGAAGTAGACAGGCGGTTCCCAGATCTCTCTGGCTTGAGGGTGGTACCCTGGCTAACATCAAAACTTAATAACGTCTTGTCTGGAGCTGTTGTATTTATGTATATGTGTGTCTGTTTAAGGTTATGTTTTGGGATAATTGTTTTTATAGAACTGTTGTTGTTTTCTTAGTGGCTCTCTCATCCTCAGCCTTTGTCACTTGTTTGGCTGGGAGAGAGTAATGGGTGGGTCTTTGGTTTGGCCCAGAAAGGGTCTTAGTCCTCTAGCGTGATGATTTGCATACAAAGTTTGTTGGAGCAGATGACTTCCAAGTCTCTCCCTGCTTCGTTTAGACTTGGCAAAGTGTGGGGAGGATACCCGTGTGTGTTGTGGTGCGCCTTTCAGGAAGAATTTTCCCTCGGTGATTTGGAATTCCATGATGATGTGGTTTCTCACTGTTTTGGGGGCAGAGGTGGCCCCTCCCCACCGCACCACCAACCGTGGAGTTACAGTTCTGCAGATTTTTCCACTGAGCGCCTGACAGCACACACTTGGCTCTTACTGCACCTGAGGACCCGTGTGCTTCAGGGTGGCATTACCCTGGGGTCCAGCTTCCTGGGTTTTACATCCAGCTACAGCACCAAGCATCTTTTGAAGGAGAAGATGAGAGATATAATCTATCTTGTAGTCAAACTGGTGAAGTCATAATATTTTTGCAGCCAGCCCTGAAAGCTGAGTCACAATGAGTGTGATTCAGACCTTGATTTCTTACCCAAAGCAATTTTGAGAGGTGTGAAGTCAAGAAAGACGCACAGTTGTCACTGCCCTCATAGAAAAAAGCCCTGAGCGCTGAGCTTCTGTAGCCAAGACGGGGCTCAGCCCATACCTGGAAACATTCCAGTCTCTTTAGGCCTTTTTACCTGCCTTGATCATGAATGACTTCATTCAGAAAATGCTGTCAGTCATTTGCCTGCCTTTCAAAGTCTGTCTTGTTTTTTATCTTGGTCATATTAGCCATGTTTTGGGGAAACTTAGCTATTTTCTATAATTAACATCTTAGCAAAAATCCATAGAGCTAAGAGCCTTGGGATGTTGGTAATGTCTCAGTTTGGAAACAAGAAGTCTTACATTTCAGAGTAGGCAAGCAGAGAAGTTACCTTTTGTCAAATCCAGAAGATATTTGAAAGCAATTAAGATAGAAATGGTTGCCTTAGACACCTATAGCCTTTGTACTTTTTAACTATTAGAAATAAAAGGCTCATACATATGCTGCATACAGACTGGCTGTTCTCTGAGAATTTATTTCTGGGGTGAAGGATGAGAGTGCTGGCTAAGGTCAGGAGACCCATGCTCCCAGGTCACAACTTTATACCGAACTAGAGGAGTGACTTCAAGGAATAGAGGAGTGACTTCAAGGAAGTTGCTTGGCAGACCAGTTCTCAGTTCCCACCTCAATAACTGAAGATGATAAAATTGACTTTGCAGGGTGTTAGGAGAATAAGAAGTAGCGAGAGAGTGGAATACTTAACAGTGCTTGAAACACAGTGAGCTCTTAATAATTGATCACAGTCATTTACATTAATTATTATTTAAACTCGGGAGTATTATTCTGAGTGCTCATGGATTTGTGTAAAATTCACTTACACTCAATAGTGAAACTGGAAACTGCAAAAAAACTAACCAAAGTGGTAAAGGAAACTGAAAAGGAGATCTACAAAACACAAGTTGGAAAGAACTGAACTGATTGATTATTTACAGGGAAGAAATGAAGGCTGCAGGGTGACTGAAAGGCTGTGTGAAGGTGGTCAAGGCGTAGTGACCTGGGAAGTCACGCCCAGCTGCTTTCCATCTCCACGGAAGCTGGCAGAACCAGGGCAGATGGGACAGGCCGGGGCCCAGGGACATTGGAAGCAGCAGAAATGACCAAGTACAGATCTGGACAGAGAGAGCCAAGGGGGGTTGCCTTCTCAAAGAAGGCTCCAGAAAAGTGCATGTCAGCACTTCCGTGAACTCCTGAGGTAGAAAGGCATGCACACCCCATGGAGACTGGTACGCAGACTTCAGCCTGCACCCCATGGTGTGCTCGTGCTCCACGTCCACACATGCCTTACCTGGAGCCGCTGGAGTTAATGCCTGACCCTTTGCTTAGCGCAGTAATTTGCAACCAGGGTCAGACTTGCCTCCTTGGGGCGCGTGGTACATTTGTCTGGAGGCGTTTCTGGTGGTCACAGCTGGGGAGGAGGGGGCACCATTGTCATCTGGTGAATAGAGTCCAGGGGATGCTGATACACACCCTGCGGTGCACAGTAAGGCCTTACCAGTGAAGATTTACTGGCCCTGCATGTCAATGGTGCTGCTATTGAGAAACCCCAGTTCAGAGGAGGAGAGCATCATAGCGTGGGCTCTCTTAAGGCTCAGTGGTTTACGCCAGAGCATTTTTTTCCTCCATTTACACCAAACCGTGGAACTGAATGGTTAGAAGACTGTTAAACATTTGCTATTCTGAGAAAATGTGTGGATTACATTACAATCATGTGTTTCTTAGCTGTCTGCTATACTTTAGTTTAAAAATATTTATATTTCTAAATAAGCGACTGACTCTTTGTCTAGGGAAAATAACATATGCAGGAGAGCTCCCCGGAGTATGTTGCAGACAACCACCTTCCACGCTTTCTCTGCCCAGCCTTTTGCTGGCCAATTAATCTCTGCATTCAAGGCCTGTGCTCAGCGAGACTCAGGCGTGACTCTTGGTGGAGAAAATTCCCCAGGGGCCAGCACAGACCAGCAACAAAAGGAGGGCTCGCCAAGAGAGTCACGTCAGCACACACAACACTGATGCTCTGAAATGTGGCTTCTCAGTGACTCTGAGAATAAATCACGCTTTCTTGACTTAATAACACATTGCTGTTTCTAAATAATATAAGTATATGTTGTGTGTGTCCATTTGTAAACTTTCAGAGTCTTCCGAAATCCAGTCACAGCATGAAAACACACGCTATATTTGATCCTTGCATAAATAGCACAGATTTTAATTTTATCCTGGTTATGGATATCTGGCGCGTGCGCCGATACTCTGGGCAGACTGGTGTGAAATTTAATTTGAGCAGTTAAACACAAGGGTGAGAGAGTGCAAAGTAAACAAGCACACGCATTTCCAGCCCTACAGCATTTGGTATGTTAACGGGAAGAGCACCCAAATCCTCTCTTTTATTTTTTCCCTTGTGACAATCAGATTACAGATTGTCTGAAAGGCACGAATCCTCCGTATCTCCCACGCCACCCCCATCTCCCCCTGAATGTTGCCTGCAGCCATTTCATTTGTGAGCTCTTCATGGCTAGAGTTGGAGTTTCAGTGAATGAAAGCAAACAGGTTTCTTTGTTTTTGAATTTGATATTAGCTGAGAGATTGAGGAGAAGGAAAACAGTCTCCTTGAGAACATCTTGCAAGGGGAGACAGCCGTGGAATTGGAAATGATAGAAGATAGGATTTGCAGTTGGACAGGCAGAGATGGAGATCACAGCTGGGCCAATTGCAATGTCTGGGACCTTTCGAGAGTTATATAAGAGCTCTTTTCCTCGCTTTATTTGTTAAAAATGGGGACAATTCCAGCCTGATAGAGTTGCTGGGACAGTGCACAGCAGTGGTACCCAGCTGCCTGCAGACTCAGTTTCCTTACTCCTTACAGACGTCTGTAAATCCCACCTAAGTAACATTTGCTGAGGAAGCGCTGATGTTTGCTGTCAGTAATCATCAGTGTTGGTAAAAAGGGCAGCCACTTCCCTTCTCCCCATCTTTAACCACCTCGTTCAGGAATTAGCAAGCACCTTTCAGCCTGCCCACCTCTAGGTATAGCTCATTTGGCGTATTAAGCACACAAAGAGCTTTAGGTCATAAAACACTGACACGTTTGCCAGAGGCCTGTGCCATTTGGGAGCTGGGGAAGGGTCAGCGTGCATGTGCGGCCTTCCCAGGCACAGGCCCGTGAGTAGCAAAATTGAGTGGGTGAGTTTCTTCCTAGATTCTAAAGAAAGAACTTCTGCTTACCATTAGTAAACATTTTCGTCTTTACATTCGATTTGTCTCCACAGAAGAGCGAGTTGTCCCCATTGAAGTGTGCCGTTCCAAACTGTCAAAATACTTGCAGGGAATAGTTTTCCGCTGTGATAAATGTACTTTCACCTGCTCCAGTGATGAGAGCCTCCAGCAACACATAGAAAAGCACAATGAACTGAAACCTTACAAATGCCAGCTCTGCTACTTTGAGACCAAGCACACGGAGGAACTGGACAGCCACCTTCGGGACGAGCATAAGGTACTTGCCCAGGACTTCCTGCCTCCCCCCACTCAGCATTCCTGTGGGGAGGGGCCTCGCGGGGAGCCGGAGCTGCATTAGTCACTCCAGTGTGGGCAAGGCAGAGTCATGGACTAAAGTAATGTTTACAGTGAGGTTCAGTGTCTTTGGTGTAAAAGAAATGGAAGGTTGTTTCAGAAAATTGGAACACATAGATGGAGTTAAGGAAAAATCACCCAGAAAGCCACCAACCAAATCCAACTACTTAACATCGTTAGTCTCTTTCAGACCCACTTTCCTTTGTTTTACATAATTCTGATTATACTATACATGAAGTAGTGTATCTTCCAACTTAACATCCTAACAGGAGTGTTTTTCCATACAATTTTAAATCTAGTTTTACAAGGATTGATGAACATTTTCTGTAAAGGTCCAGATAGTAAATGTTTGGGGCTTTGCAGTCCAAGATGGTCTCAGTGGCAACTACTCAATTCTGCCCTTGTAGCAAGAAAGCAGCAAAAGACAAGGCATGAGTGGATGGGCATGGATGTGTTCCAATAAAACTTTACTTACAAAGCTAGGCAGCAGGCTGTGCACACACAGTTGCTGGCCCCTCTTCTATCTGACAGCTATGCCACTGTGTCAACCACGTGCGTTGTCTGTAATATTTTGCTAACTGAAAAGATTTTTCAAGGCATTGCTGTTCATATCTGAACACTATAAGGACTGTAAAATATGTGTTTTATTTGAGGAGGAGAATTGATAAAGAATAAGTTAGTACAGAACATAAAATAAGGAGTTTGTGATTCAAATTCTCTTCCAAAGGTCTGCTGATCAGAGGGCAGCATCATACAGGACAGCTTCCAAGGTCCCTTCTTATGGGATTCATTAGGCACATCAGGAATTGAAATGATGGTTTCTGGTTTTGTGTATTGGCCAGAGTGCAGGGCTAGACTGTGATTTGTATTGTTTCGTGAAAAGAGCCTATTGAAATGTTTTCTAATTAACCCGCAAATTGGAAACATCTAGTGAGTGTTTACTTAAGGCACAATGAGAAGCACTTTTGATACTGTTTCCTTTCTCCTTGCTTTGCCTCCACAGTAGAAATGTAGTTTTCTTTTCTGGCCTTACAAACCCAAGTCACAAAGATTTTAGTCTGAATCAGCTGCACGCAAAGGTTAGAATTTATGGGGTATTGAGAAGGAAGGCTGAACTTTATCAGCCGTCCACAATTTAATGGCTTTATGGTAACTTTTCTGCTTTGGCATGCATTCATTTTCTGCTGTGTCTACCCAAAAATGAAAGCAGAGAAAAAAAATCCTGAATTACCTCACTTAAAAACTTTAATATCCTTTCTTATTCAAACTTCTTGGGGCATTTTCTGCCCCCAAACTCAAAGGAATATCACCCGTTTCTAACCAAGTTTTCTACATTTATGCACATCTATCTTATTTATGTAACCACCTCAGATATTTGTATTATAGTGTTGAAGCCTTCAAGCTGGTATTTTGAGACAGAGCAAACAAACCAAGAGGGTAAATTCTTCCCCAGTTGTACATAGCAGCTTGTGAGTTGCTGGGGCAACCGGAGAAGGTCAGAAACCATGTAGATGTAGAGCCAGAGGCTTCCTGAGCAAGCGTGCAGGTTGGGGCTTCAAGGTACATGTTAGGGAAATGGGCTGCTCAGGAAAGAAGTGTCCACTTTAGAGCTTTTGGAGCCAAACAGACCGGGGTTTGAATCTTGTTTCAGCCATTTACTGTGCAGCTTCAGCAAGTTACTTAAATTTCTGTTTCTGTTTACTGATTTCTAAATGGGAATCACAATATCTTTCTCAGAAGTTTTGTATGGTTAAATGAACTCCCAGTATTTTCCGCCCTTTGAGACCCACTGTGCTCCTCAGTCTGTGAGTTGAACTGTGTTCAGGTATAACAAGAGCAGCATCTATCAGGAAGGCGGGTGTATTCCTGAAGACCTAAAATATAAAATAATTCGCTATACCTTGGACTTCAGACACAGTCTTTCAGTGTTGTATTTTCACTATGCCATACTATGTTAATTTTACTCATTCTTATGATTGACTAGCTTATTAAGTCCAGTGAGCTGAAGAATTCAGCATGCCTAATGATTTCGTCTTGGTTTCAATTTTAAGTTTATGAGACTTGTGCTTACTATGATGCAGCGCTTTCTGATCCCCACTTTCTATCCCTTCTTTGCTAAGTGAATACAAAATGCAGGTCAAATTTTTGAAATAATTATCCAAATGCTGTTTCATAAACAAAGATAATAGCGCTGCTGAAAACGAATTGTTGACTGATAGGCAGTGACATGCACCAGTTAAAAGTGGTCATTCTTCAGGGTGAAGAATATACAAAAGTCTGATTTCAGCATTTATGAAAGTGTGGAGTGTCCGTGTACCTTGTACTAAAGAAAAGTTTGCTAATAATTAAAACACAAAAGTCAAGGACCATAAATCAGGCAAGAGCAAGCATTTAAAAGCTTAAGAATTGGAAAGGACGAAACTTTTTGTTCCCAATAAGATCTTTGTATGTAGAAAATCCTATATAATCTATTTTTAAAAACTACTAGAATATTAGTTTAGCAAAGTTGCAGGCTATAAGATCAATATCCAAATTATATGTATATTGCAATGGACAATCTGAAAATGAAATGTAAAAAAATCAATTTCATTAAGAGTAACATTAAAGAGAATAAACTACTTGAGAATAAATTTCACATAAGAACTGTGAAATCTGTCCCCTGAAAACTGCAAAATATTCAGAGAAATAAAATAAGTTAATTCAGTGTATGCTATACTTGTGGACTGAAAGACTCAATATTGGTGTTCTTTCCAAATGGACCTACAGATTCAACCTAATCTCTATAAAAAAAATCTCAGTAGTCTGTATTCTTTGGTAGAAATTGATACTAAAATGTATATGGAAATACAAAGGATCTAGCATAGTCTAAATAGTGTGGGGAGAGAATTGGAGGACTTACCCTTCCTGATTTCAAAAGTGAATATAAAGCTGTGGTAATGAAGAGAGCATGGTCTTGGCGTAAGACAGATGGGGTAAGTGCTGTGAAGAAAAGGTCTGGAAATAAACCCTCCTATAAATATGTCAGTTAGCTTTTAGCAAAGGTGCCAATGTAATAAGAAAATTACAGTTTTTCAACAAACAGTGCTGGAACAGTTGCAATTCCATGCAAATAAGGAACATTGACCCTTATGTTACTCCCAAAACAAAAATTAAATCAAAATGGGTCATAAACTTCCACATGTGAGCTAAAACTATAAAACTTCTGGAAGAATAGGAGAACATGTCCCTTGTGTTAGGGAAATTTTTCTTAGATACCATCCAAAAGATAGGGATATTTAAAGAAAAATACCATAAATTAGATGTCATCAAAATTAAGTTTTTGCCCTTCAGAAGACACCATTAAGAAAATGCAAAGACAGACAAAAGATTGGAAGCAAATATTTATGAAGTAATTATCTACAGAGGAGTTTAACAAAATGTATGAACAAGTTTCACAACTTGATAAGATAATTGAATAAATTGAGAAAAAATTTAGAGTAGACACTTTACCCATAAGGATACACAAATGGCAAAAGGGCACATGAAAAGATGCTCAGTAAGACTCATCACTGGGGAAATGCAAATTAAAACAATACTACCTACCTGCTAGAATGGCTAAAATTAAGAAAACTGATAGTGCCGAAATGTTGGCAAGGATGTGGAGAAATGGGAAATCTCAGTGCCGTTGGAATGTAAAATGGCATGTCCACTTCGGAGCATTTTGGCAATTTGTTTAAAAGTTAAATAAACTTACCGTCCATCCCAGCAAGCCTACGTGCCACATAAAGTGGGTGGATAAACAAAACTTGCTATGTCCACACAATGGAATACTATCAGTAAAAAGAAATGGGCTGCTGATACACATAACAACATGGATAAATCTCAGAAGCATCATGTTAAGTGGACAGAAGCCAGACACAAAAGACTACATAATTTATGATTCCATGTATATGAAATGTCTAGAAAAGGCCAAACTAGGGAAATAAGCAGATCAGATGGAGGTTGCTTGGGACTGGAGGTTGAGAGCAGGGATGGATTGCAGAGGGTATGAGGGACTTCTCAGTGACAGAAGAATTCTTAAATTAGATTGTGGTAGGGGTTGTACAAATGTATCATTTTACTAAAACTCAGCGACCTGATATATGGTAGGTCCTCAGTAAATGTTAATTTCCTACAGTCTTTTCTTATAAAGTTGATCCTTGGAACAGATACATCTACAAGATGCTCAATATCCAGATTAATGTATAAACTGCCAAAAATAAACGTGCAGTGGACATAGCAATTGGTTGTACACCTTAAGGTTTACTTTTTTTGTGTGTTGAGTGCACTGCTCATTACCTTCTTCTACAAATAGCTGTAGGTGATTTTGTGTGGTGGAGAGAATCCTACAGTATCTTTCAGATGTATTTTCAGTGAAAGGATTTCATTAAACAGACGGGATATGCAAAACTGGACTTGTGAATTCTGCCTGTAAAGCTTGTAAACCTGAGGAATGTCTCTCAAGTTGTCAGACTGTATCGTTCCTGGACTGAACAGAACACTGGGATAGCAGGAAGGGTCCTTGAAGTCAAATATACCATTATATTTAAGAGCTAGATTCTCCAATGCTCTGGATTTACGTTGCCATGTTTATTCTCAAGCCAAGGTGAGGTAGAAAAGAGATAAGAAAGCACTATCATTTTTAGGTGACAGAGAATCTTATCTTTCTAGACCTTTATCTTTGTGCCACTGAACAAGGAATCACTTGCAATCTCTTGTAATCTAAAGTAAACACTGCAGGCTATTAGAAATTTTCTTTTTTCCTTCAACTTTTTTCAATCTCACTAGGTCTTCTAGAAGCGGACTATTCTATTCTTCCCATCCCTCCCACTTTCTATTCCCTAACCCCCACCACACCCCACGCCCCCCACACCCACACACAAAATGAAATCAGATCAGTTGTGC